CGACCGGGGGCTCCCCTTCCCTGCCCCTCCCAGCGCCCCCCCTCCTCCTATCCCCTCCCGCCGCCGCCGGCGTAGGCCTCCGGGCTTGGCTCGCGTGATGCCGGCGGCGGCGGCCCCGTTCTTTTCCTCCCCGCGCGGCGTTGTAGCTCGGGCGATGGCGCCGGCGGCGGTGCACCCACGCCGGCATCGGTTTCGATGGCGGCTCGTCTTCGCAGGCGGCGCAGCTCCGAGTGGCAAGGTGGCGGTGGCGTGGCTGCTTGGCTGCGGGGCGGCGCGATGGCGGGCGGCGGCGCCCTTCCTGCCCAGATCTGGGCCCTTTTGGGCCCCATCTGGGTCTGGGTGGGCCTGGCATGTGCTTTCCGGCGGACGGAGGGGTGGCTTGGGCTGGGGAAGGCGGAGACGGTGGCGCGTGTACTGCAGCGCAGCGACGGGAGCTTCACGAGCCCGCTTCAGGCTCGGCCGGGCAGGGGTGCCTGGTTTGCTCCTGAGCTACGTCCGGTCGGTCATCGCCGAGGGTGGTGGAGGTTGTCCCCTCCCACGTGGCCGCTGACCCTGCTGCTCCTCGTTTCCGGCTGGTTCCTCTCGATCCCGCCGGTCTCGCTTCGCTTGTCACAGTGAGACGGCGATGGTGACTGCGAGTCCGTGGTGGCGCATATTGGTGGACGGCAAGTATGGTGGAGCGTGATGGATCGTCTAGGGTCGTGGTTGATTGGGGGTTGGGAGAAATCCTTGTCGGCCTGTTCGGCACCGACGCGGTGACGCCCGTGGGCACCGCCGTGCCTTCCTGAAGGGCGTCGGATATCCCCCATCCCTCCCTCGGCCCCTCGCGTACCGGGGGAAACCCTAGGCCATGTCCGGTAGCAGCGTCGTTGTCGTCGCGTTCCTTCTTGAAGGTGTTACTTGGTATGCGGCGTTTCGTGGTGCTAGGAGCGTGGTGGAATTCTCCGGCGGGCGCAGCGGTTGCGAGTCATCTTCGTTTTCGTTGATCCGCCGTTGTCGGCATTTTTTTTCTTTTGTGTTTTCTCTTTCTTTTCTTTTGGGCATGCCTGTACTGCTTCTGCCCCAGCACCTATCGTTGGTTGTATCGATGTTGTTGCTTTGTAATACAAAGCGGGGGGAAACCCTTTTTCGGTAACTGCTGCTGATCCATTGCTTCAGCAACCTGCTCAGGTCTATCTCCATGTCTTCAGCTTTCTGCATTTTATTCTGAGGGTCGGTTAAATCGTACGGAGTATGATTTTAGATCTCGGACTGGATCTAGTTTTTCTTTTCTTCTGAAAAGAGAGTAAACGCCCGGCCGGGTGGATCTGGGGTGTTCATGCCGTACGAGATTACATTGCCAGTCTCTTCGTGTCCTAGCCGTGTCGCCACCCATAAATTCATGTGTCATCTTAGCCATTTTGCAGCCCCCCTGTTGCATCAGCGTTCGTAGTGCGCCTTTCTGAAGTTTTGCCCATGTGTTTAAGATGTGACAGAGGAAAAAAAGCTACTATACATTGGTAGGATCTGTACTCTGAAGGTCTAATCCCTTGGAATTAGTACCAATTATTTCGTCTCATCCATAGACTCCAATCATAACGAACATTCTATCTTTACCCGTATAAGAAGGAAACAGGTTATCATATAAATCAGACATGCAAGAAGGCTTAGTGCTAATCCCTTGCCAAAATTCGTATTCCGACCACCAACCAACAAAGCAGTTTGATCCTCAAGTGAAATCAACTTGTAACGAAAATCCAGCTGCTTCGTAATCAAAGAATGATTCAAGGACCTGACAGCCCCGAGCTGGGCGTCTCCCTGAAGCTCTGAAGACTTTGGCTTTTGCTGTTAGGAGTGACCCTATAGTAGTCTTCTGCAGTATTTCTGTTCCTGCAAGCTGGGCGTGTGGTTGGGTTTATATTTTGCTGTTCCTGTAAGTGGCTAGACTGAGATGTCGTGGGCTGTTTAAGCCAGTTTGGTTTCGTTTTTGTTCGGATGTCTGGTGACATTTCCTGGATATGTCTGGAGTGCACCTCCTTTTATTTCCCCTGCTGGCAGTAGTTTTATGGTGATGTTGGTCCTTTTAGATTAGTAGTACTGAACCTATGTAGCTCGCTGTTGGAAATCGGAAGGGGGAACCCTTCTTTATTTCAAAAAAGAGAGTTCTCCCGATTTTGTTAAAAGCACCTGACCTATCAGGTTCACTTAACAGGCTCACCTGGCTGCGTAATTGCTTCCGGGTTCTGCCATATAGTCAAGGTCTCCTATCGAAGAAAAACGTCTAAAACTCTGTCTATCTTCGCCTCTTGTAAAGACTGCGTATACTATAATATTTTGGCTGAAGGTTCAGTTACAAAGTCTGGGGGAAACCTGGCAAAGAGAATGATGCCCTATCCAACCATCCAAAAAACATGGTCCTCCTGCCTCCTGGTCAATGCTCTGAAATCATCAGAAATAAAACCTGATGTTATATATGGATGGACTGTTGAAGTCTCTGCCCCATTTGTTTCTTGGCCTTTTTGCTATAAATTTCCTTCATTCAGCAGGCTGTTTCAAATTTTCAGGTACATCACATGTATAACTAAAGAGCAAAGATAAATAGTTGTCCAGCCAGAGATGAATGGAATAATGGTGAGCGCTTCAACCGGGGTGATGAACTCTCTCCTGGGTAAGCTGGCCACTCTGATGGGAGAGGAGTTTGCCAAGCTAAAGAACCTGAGGAAGGAGGTGAAGCACATCAGCGATGAACTGAGCAGCATGAAGGATGCTCTAGAGAGCCTTGCGGATGTGGATACGCTGGATAAACACACCGCTAGCTGGAGGGACGCGGTCAGGGAGATGTCGTATGACATCGAGGATGTTATCGATGACTTCATGTGCAAAACTGGGGAGAAAAGCAAAAAAACTGGTTTTATCCAAGACACCACTCAACGCCTCAAAACTTCAAGGGGCCGCCATCAGATCGCTGGGCAGATTCGGGACATCAAGAAACTTGTGCGTGAAACAAGTGAGCGGCGTGAAAGATATAAGATTGATATCCCCAAATCGGGCAATGTGGCAGTTGACCAACGCGTTGTGGCACTCTATGAAGAATCATCTAAAGTTGTTGGTATGGATGGCCCAACCAATATGCTTGTCAATTGGCTAAAAGATGAGGAGAAGAAGTTGAAGATTGTATCAGTTATTGGTTTTGGAGGTTTGGGAAAAACAACACATGCCAATCAGGTATACCATAAGCTGGAGGGGAAATTTCAGTGTGGTGCATTTTTGCCGGTGTCTCAAAAGTCAAATATGCCAAAACTTCTGCATAGTTTATTAACCCAACTTGGGTGTGGACAATATTGTCATGACTGTGAGTTAAATGTTCTTCTCGACTAAGTCAGAGAAAATCTAAAAAACAAGAGGTACTTATTTTTACTTTGTATATTGTTGTTGTTTACATGTGCCTCTGATAGTTGGATTTCCTTAAATGATTTAATATTATGTTCTTCTATACGAGAATCAATGTTAACTTGATAACAAATATTTTTCGTCTACCTTTAACCTGTTGAAATATTTGATATCTTGTGTTAATTTACTTACCGTTGTACTGATATTCTTGCAGGTACTTGGTTATTATCGATGATCTATGGGATGTATCAGCATGGAATATTATTAAATGTGCTTTCCCAGAAAATAATCTTGGTAGTAGATTAATAGTAACTACAAGAATCACGACTGTGGCTGGGGCATGTTGTTTTGGTCACCACGAGAGTATTCTTGAAATGGAACCTCTTAGTGAAGAAGACTCAAGAAAATTGTTTTTTGGTAGGATATTTTGCTCTGAAGAAGCTTCTCCAGGTCAACTCAGAGATGTTTCAGTTGAGATTCTCAAGAAGTGTGGTGGTTTGACACTTGCAATCATTAGCATATCCAGCCTATTGGCAAGTGATCGTTCCAACCAAAAGGAGAGGTGGAAACATGTACTGAATTCATTGGGGTCAGTGTCAGGCACAAATCTTACCTTGGAAGCAATGAGACAGATCTTGAACCTTAGCTACAAAAATCTTCCTCACCACCTCAAGACATGCTTCTTGTATCTTGGTATGTTTCTGGAGGACTCTGAAATATATAGGCACGAGTTGGTAAGCCTATGGGTTTCTGAAGGCTTTGTTAGTAAAGCACATGGACAAAATCCAAAACAGATTGCGATAAGTTATTTTAATGAGCTTGTCAACATGAGTCTTATTCAACCTGTACAGATTGACATGCATGGGTCAGTGTTAACTTGCAAAGTACACGATATGTTGTTGGATCTTATCCTGTACAAATCTGCGGAAGAGAATTTTATCACTGTAGTAGACAACCCAGAGGCCATTACAGGACAGCTTCAAAAGCCCCGTCGGATGCTCTTCAACTTGGATGGTGCAACATTGCCAAGGGACGTTAATATGTCACAAGTGCGATCATTTGCAAACTGGAGAGGCTCCACGAATATACCTTCATTGGCAGAATTCAAGTATCTTCGAGTTTTTATTGCTGACTTCAGTTCTAGTTCTGTTGATGGCAACCGGAAAATCGACCTGACAGGATTGTGCAAGTTATATCAGCTGCGACATATACAGATTGAAGGCTGTGATAACTGCCAGCTACCAACGCAGATTAGAGGGCTACAAAAGTTGGAAACATTTGATATAGATGGGTCCTGTATCCCAATGGATATTTTTCAGCTGCCGTGTTTGTTGTCAATGCATATTTTTCACCTGCCGTGTTTGTTGCCTGAGGGCATCGGTAAAATGACATGCCTACAGCGTCTGAGATGGTTTGACACGCTGCACACCTCAATCAACAGTATCAAGGGCCTAGGAGAGCTCACTAATCTGAGACTTCTGTACCTCAGAACCGATTTTTCTGAAAATGTGGACATGGATGTTCTAAACTCTTCTTTGGGGAAACTTTGTAACCTCGACTCCCTGAATGTATTTTCACCTGATTCTTGGATACCTGAGGCACTAACCTTGTCGCCTCCTCCCCCCAACCTCATGGGACTCTCCATGATGCGAATATCCCGGGCCCCAAGCTGGATTGGGGAACTCCATAACCTCCAGAGCTTGCATATCACTGTTGATAAGTTAGACAAGGATGATGTTGGTATTCTCGCGGAGTTACCCGCCCTCATGGACCTAGAATTAACGTTCAATAGAGCCCTGGAAGAAACAATTGTCATCTATGGGACATCATTCGCAATCCTGAAGCGGTTTGTTGTCTACTGGACTGTCATGCCACAACTGACCTTCCAAGCCGGAGCAATGCCTAAGCTCCAGAGCCTCTCTCTACCTTTGAACGCCAGGGGGTGGAAGAAGGACGACAGCACCACGCCTACAGGCATCGAGCACTTGTTAGCACTTGAAAGAATCTCTGTGGGGATTGGGAGTGAGACTGAATCTGAACAGAGAAGCGCAGAGTCAGCCATTAGGAGCGCTATGAACATGCATCCTGGCCATGCTCACATTAAAATCGATATCCAATGTTACTAACAAACAGCATGGAGGTTTTGGTGGTAATTCATGGTACGTTCAAATTTCCACCTCAAATCTCCTGTCTCTAGTCTGTCTGTTAGTTTCCAAACTTCTAGTTTGGTCTGTAGCTCACCATAATACTGCACCTTTCTTTTTGTTGTAGCAAGACTTCCATAGATCTATGCAGATTCAAAAATTGGAGATGCTTCATTTAAATCGACAATGCACATCTCTACCAACATTTTTTCCAACATTTGATTAGTTATAGTTTCTCTTATTGCCGAAAAAGGGTTTCCCCCCGCTTTGTATACAAAGCAACCAACCGGATTATACAGGGATAGGTGCTGGGGCGGAAGCAGCAAAGTCACGCCCAAAAGAAACAACAGAAAAAGAGCAAAAGAAACAAATGCCGACAACGGCGGATCAACAAAAACGAAGAAGCCTCGCGATCGCTAGGCCCACCGGTCTAATCCACTAGGCTCCAAGACTCCGAAGCACCGGCACCAATCAACACCTCCAAGAAGGATCGCGACGATGACGACGCTGCTGCCAAGGGTTTCCCCCGGTACACGACGAGGCGATAGGAAGAGTAGCCCCCGACGCCCTCCCGGAAGGTCAGGCGGCACCCACAGGCGCCACCGCGCCGGGGTCGGCCACGCCGACAGGGGTTTCCCCCGATCCCAACCCGCACCTCGGGCGCTCCGGATCCCGCCACCAAACCAACCACCACCCTACGCCAACGCAGTCATGAGGCCTCCACGCCGTCTCACCACGGCACCGCGAAGTGAGAACAGCACGACGAGGAATCAGAGCCGGGACTAGGGCATCAGCACCATCGGCACGTGGGAGGGCCCCACCTCCACCGTCAGCGACAGTAGCCGTCCGGACGCAATAGCAGGAGCACACCAGGCCCGTAGGCCCACAGGCCCGGCCGAGCCCTCGTGGGCCCGTAAAGCTCCCGCCTTCCCGCTGCTGCCGGCACGCCATCGACGTCGACGCCCCAAGTCCGAGCCGCTCCTCCTCCTCACCGCGCCGCAGACAACGAGACCATGCCGGGGGGCCGGCCCCAGGGGCCCAGATGGGCCCGACGTGCCCGGATCTGGGCCGGGGGCGCGTCGACGGCCACCCGGCACCACCACGCCGCCCCG